CTCAACTTCCAAAGGTGCTCCAAGGCTGAAGTGTTTTGTACATTTTGGCTTCGAAATGTGCTTCGTGCCACAACGGCGTGCACTTTCTCGACATCTCAACTTCCAAAAGTGCTGCGAACGTTAGGCGTTTTTAGCTTTTTCACTTGCAAATGTGCTTCGCGCCACAACGGCGTGCACTCTTTCGACATCTCAACTTCTAAAAGTGCTCTCCGAAGCTGTGGTGTTTTGTACATTTGGACTTCGAAACGTGCTTGGCGCCGCAACGGCGTGCAATTTTTCATCTCTCATCTGGCCAGATGGCTCCGCACCCGCCGCTTTAGCGAGCCTACTTTTCGACCCTCTGGAGCCACAAATCATTGGGAAAACACAGCGAATCGCGACTTTTCTACCTTTTCGCTCACCTGCATCTTCTTTCTTCTGACTTTCTTTTCTCTGATCTTCTTTCTTCTTCTCTTCTTTTCTCTTCTCTGACTCTTCCCATCTCTGCTTTTCATCTGTCCATAGTCCATATTGTCGGAAGTTTGACTTCTAAACTTCCTTCGATATCATTCAATTTATTTTTGGTGGTTGCGCGCCAAAATTGGAGGACTTGCGATCCACCTTTAAAATGATCTCGAACCCATCCTTGAGAACACACAGCTGCAAAGCTGCTTCGAGTTGTTGCAAATATGGAGAAACGCCGCTGCATATTGTTTAAAATGCACGAAAGGAAACCAAAGGACATATTTGAGCAGCACGATTAGCTTCGTCAAACCTATGTAGCCTTTAGCAGCCCTGGCACCCCTCTAAGGACCCAGTGGGCTACAGTGTGCCTTTGCAACTCACACATGGTTAGCCACTTTTATTTCACAACATCTAAGTTTGGGGGTGAGTCACTTTGGGTTCACCTGCGTTGGGCCACCAGGCCTGCAATGTTTCGCGCTGTCATGCCAAAGGTTTTGGCCAATACCGGAACAAAAGGCGCAAAAATGCCAAAGCCAAAGGCATCCTCACCACGAAGGTATCGGCTGGACGGATCCGGTGGGCATGTCCAAGAAAATGCACGGCAATAAGATCTGAGTGCAGTCAAAGACACCATGAAGACTATGAAGTAACAAGTGAAGAAAGAAGCCTCCGGCTGTCCACACAGGTTCGCTCGCTGGAATATAAAAAGCAATGTACAGAACTCTCTGGTGCAAGGAGGTTGGCAGTGTCAGACTTCCCAGGAGCTGGAAGAAAGAGATTGCAAAAACATCAAACACTCAGGTGACATTCAGGAATCGGTGTATCAGAACATCACCTTCTCAAATTTGCAACTGATGACAACATCGAGATAAACACCCCCAAAAAAGGCGTTGGCCTCGTCACTGTGATTCTGAGCGCCTGGTGGCAACACCCCCGAGCCACAAAATGTGGCGAAGGGTAGCTATAGAGAAAAAAACAAAATTTGAGGCCCAGCATCATCTTTTACATTTATCGTCCAGGTTTGGGGGCGCCCAATTCTGACCCAAACCCATGCATGGTTCAGACTTCAGAGCCCAAATCCGCCGGCCTGCCGGCATGTTTTGTGAAGGTTCTTGTTACAAATGCTGTGGTAGCTCTAGCGTCACCTATGGATTGCTCCCTCAACAGATTTTTACTTTCGCTGCCTCCCCACATAGATACTGTAATCTAAGATAGTCTCATAACCTCGAAAGGTCGTCTGGTCTAGTCTGGTCTGGTCTGGTCTAGTCTGGTCTGGTCTAGTCTCTAGTCTGTCCACCACATTACCTTTGACTTTATTTACATCATCATAGAATCATATTCATAGCATCATCTTCATAACATCCTCATCATCCTCATCATCCTCATCCTCCTAATCCTCCTCCTGCTCCTCCTAGTCCTCCTCCTCCTCCTCATCCTAATCCTCTTCCTCCTCTTCTGTTCTCTTCCTTCATCCTCCTTCATCATCCTATCTCCGTATTGTCTTTCGTTGCTCCGGCTCGCCCCTGGAACGCTGCATTTTTCCACGTTTTCTCCACGGTTTACTACCTATTCCAGGCAGAGTACGTTCTAACCTGCTGCTTTTGCGCCCAACACCTTCCACAAGCACCTGCAGCTCCTGCTCTTCCTCTGCACTCACGGCCTTCTCCGCATGCACTCTCACAGCCATGCCGCTTACTTAGATCTACCAACTAATGTTATGTCGCTCACTAATTACAGTGCCATCTCGTAAAGTCTCTTTACATCTTCATCGTCCAGGGCATTGTCCTCATCATCTTTATCTTCACAACTTTTACACAAACACTCTTTTACACCAACCACTTTCTGCCGAAACCAACTTTTGCACCATTTACACAAACGAACTTTTGCACAAACTCCCTTTTACACGCATCACCTTGTCCACTAACCCGCACTTATACCAACCAGCTTTTACACAAACCAGCTTCTACCCAAACCTGGTTTTACTCGAACCACCTGTTGCACCAACCAACTTTCACACCAACCAGCTCTTGTCTTTCTTTGCCCCGACCAGCCAAAAACAGCCGGGTGGCCGGCGGAATGCCGAAGGCTATTAATGTAGCATGCATTGGATCTTCAGCGCAACAGTCTCGGTATACCGGCACCAAGCCATGCTGCGGCCTTGTCCGGCTGAGTCCGCACTACTGCGCAAGAACCAAAGCGTGACAGCCACAGTGAGCCTGGGTAGCTGGTGCTTTTTAGCCTTTCACACACACACACGCTACAGTGCAAATCACTGGAACCACCGGAGGGTATAAATCTACAGTACACCTGGCCATGAATCAGTCTTCTCCTTCCTGCCATTCTGAATTCATCCAGAATGCAAGAGCACGATGAAAGCAAACTTGATGTCCATGTGGTTTTCAGACCACATATTGGAGATTCCATCATCAATCCTCAGCAAAAACGAGCCCCAGAGACCATGGTAGCACATCTCCAAGTGGACATGGATCCAGGGGAACCACTCAAGATGGCACTCGCACAAAGAAGCACACGCGCACACACACACATCCATACCAACATTGAAAAAAGTTTGGCATTCGTACTGTACATAAGCGTCAACCCACTGAAACAAACAACCAAGTGGGAAGGGACATCATCATCATGTTCCTAGAACAATCTCAAACGGTGACAATGTGGTCATTGTACCTCTTTCTCTCATTTTACCTGCTGATATCGTGCTTCAATTGGAGGTATCCCTACCTTTACTTGGAATACATTCGGATATATGCGTCTGAGTTTATGATGATACGCGCATCTGAGATTGGTAACATCCCCTCACTTGTTGATCGTCAAAGCATATGAAAATCACCGTGCATGCTAGTCCGTCTACAAACATGTGGTGTCACAGTGGTGTCAGAGTCTGCAGATGAAGGTCTCTTCCAAAAGGGTGTCGGGCAAGGTCCTGGCAATGTGGTGCTCAGGATCTCTAAGGAAAAATCCTGACAAATCCACAGGGTCAGCGTCTGACAATTTCCATCAATTTCCTATTTATATTAGAACATATTCGACCATCCATTTCCTCAGGCTGCAGGACTTGTCAAATCCTCAACCCTTCAGCCCAGTCCGTGGCTCAAGGCTAAAGTTCTCTAGACTCTTTGTCCTCGGCTCCGCTGCCCCAGCCAACAGAAACTCTCGTCCCAGGGACAGGGAATCCAAAGGCAGAAACCAACGTTGGGACGAGACGCGTGTTCAACTGCAGGCCCACCTGAAGCAGCAACATATTACCTTGGTATGATTCGGTATGATGGTCATGTCATCCAAACGGTTTTCTAGGGTCCACATGGACGGCCCTTCTTGCGGGGGCAATCTTGCTGGGTTTTGGAGCCCGTTTTTCGAAAAAGACCCTTTGGTCTTCAGGTGTATTCACAGAGCATCCAACGACTTCCGGCCCGATTCCAGTTGCCTCATCATTTTTGGGGATATGTGACTATCTTTGTTACAGCTGTTTCCGAGGAGAAAGTTTTTTGTTCAGATTTTAATTATGCTTCCTCGAGAGCTTTGCAGCTTTTGTGAGCGCAACTGAGGAGCCATCATTGTCTGCATCATCATCGCAGAGCGCACAGCTATCTGCAAACACGTTCAGAAAGTTCACCTCAACACCCACGCGTTGGTTTCCAAAAAGCGCCTTGCGCATCCTCCTTTTGAAGGATGAAGTGGTGAATGTATAATAAATTGAAGCGGCCATAATTTCAGATCGTCTACCTAGATCTGCGAGAACCCCCTTGGTATCCGATGTATAGTACTAGTTACATCTAGTTACAATATGTTACAATATTTTACAATTACGATCAATTACATTCTTCAAGGCCAAGGCCAAGAAAGGCTTGCCACCTTTGGGGCCTTGTTAAGGTATTGATGCGTGGCAAATATGCGCACAGGTCAAAAGGGCGAAGGACAAACACGTGTGGTTTCCAAGCTCTTAAACAAACCACTAAATTTGAGCATCAACATTTTCTGCCATGTACACTGACAGTAACTGACCCATATGATTCCACACGTCCTGTATGTCTATTTCAGTGCTGTTCTGTTGGGCTGGAAGATTCAGCAAAAAGTCGCATGATGCTGTGATAATCTATGCCAGGCAGCTGCTGTTGACAAAATAGCTGACCAGTACAACAGCGCTTTGGCATGCGGCATTGCTCGGACACAAAGCGACGAGCAACTGGATAGGTATGCAGGAAGACAGCCACTATGCTTGAACATGTAAATGCACTTGCAAATGCAGGTCGTTTGTGCTATATACAGTACGCTTTCCAACTTTGAGATTTCTTGTTCCTAGCTATCTGACTCTGAACAAGCACTAAAATTCATTCGGTTCGGTCGGTTCGGTCCCAGGCTGTTGGCTAGAGGTGTAGCCTTGAGCCTATCAGACAACGGCACATTGCCTTGCAAATGCAGCAAAGACTGCATTGAAAAACACAATCTTCTGTGCAACATCAATCAACATGATTTATCGCTGCTTGGGTTTGCGTTCTCTTGTCCTGATTACATCGGACCACATGAGATACAGCACCCTATTTCTTTCTCCATGCATCTCCAGCGTTGGTGTTGCAAAGCGTGAGCCACCTGCAAGGTCACAAGAAAAGTGTATCAAACTCTTGGAACTAGTTGAATATAGTTAAACAGTTGAACATTGTTGGTCGACTGGCCAAGTGGATCCAAGTGGGATATGTTTCCCACTGATGGGATGATTGTGCCGGCCAATTACATACCAAGGGAGAGTATTACATGTTTCAGTACATTTGAATGCATTTGATGCATTCTGCATTTTGCATCTTTAGCCTCTTGTTCAAAGCTGCAACATTGTCCTTGGAGCCCTTTGTTGGGGAACCCGGTATAGAACCTGATTGTTGGAAACTCATGGAAATTAGATGAAATTAGTGCTTGCTGGGGATCTGATTCTGGGGAACCTTGCCCTTGGGAAAATTCTGTTAGCATTGTAAGCTGGTGTTCAGCGTCGTGTGGAAAACCTTTTGCAGCGTTGTTGCTTCCCCCTTTTGAGACCCTGCCCTGGGAGGTTGTTCAAAGCACGCAAATGCTTCCCATTCTCAGCATCATATGCAATTTTCACGGCAAGGCATACTCTTGGCCGCACCCTGCTTCATGTTTGTTCTGAAATGCGGCTCAAACGGCAGATGCTCTTCGCGCTTCAATGACTTTTGGCCTCTCTTTGAAGGTATGACATGATCTGAAATGATATGATTTGGTTTGGCGCTAGATATCGCATCATCTTCAAAACTTCGAAGACATCTACGTATACAAACAAAGGTAGCATAGCTTAATTCTGATTTGCAAACGATCCTTGGTCCAATGGTCACAACTGGTTGTGAAGAATACTTGAACTTCAAGGGCTTTGGTTGAGAAAACATGGGAGACAGGCCTCGCGCTTCAAAGATCGCCATAGTGCTTCAAACATCGTCGCCCTGAAAATTCAACTAAGCCACACAGTGGCAAATTGTCAGCGTGAGACCATCTCACAATACGAGTATATAAGGTATGGGCCGTATCGGTAAAATAATCAATAATGTAAGCTGTCTGTCTTGGACACGTTAGCTGGTTACCGTTGAACCCAAAAAAGTTTGCACCATTTGGTAAGTTATCTGTTTGTGTGGAGCAATCCTTCGAGGAACACCGCCTAAGCAGCAAAACAGCATTGCAGGATATTTTTTCATGGTATTTCAATTCAAGGTGTTTTAAGTTCAGCTAATTTGATGTCCCAGACTGACCCTCTTGCAGCACAGTGCGCAAACCCTGGGCCTGGTGCATTGCAGCGGCAGCGAAGTGGAGAGGCTCCATTGCCTTCTCAACCAAGTCTGAAAAAAGATGACGCCAATGCCTCAGTTGGTGACTCATCATGATCTGCGGAAAGCCAAGAAGGCACGGCAGCTGGAAGACAAACAGACCCAATCTCTATCATTGATGCTTTCGTTTGCGCCCGGGCTCCATAGAGTGGTCAGAATTTGCTTTGAATGGCCGTTCAGCATTCTAAGATATTCATAGATTCCTTAGATTCCACGTTTGTATCTGTTCTATTCTATTGTTTACTCTTGGTTTCTTTTGATTCTTCGATCCTGGCCATCAATGTGCAAACCTTTCAATGGTGGGAATTTCGATTCCCAAAGGAAAATCGCATCTTCCTTCTTCTGAGTCTCAGGGCCCCAAGGCCCGGCATTGTATGCTTCCTGCGAATACTTTGAAGGTCCTTGCAGCAGGGTTGCCTGGTGGTTTTCTTTTTGCTAGCGCGAGAAGGCTTCATCACCATGTCACCTGCAAGTCTGCAAGTTTGGCGAGGTTTAGGTTGGGTCATTCATTTTGACAATGGTTTCACGTAGTCCGATGAACCGGTTTGATGGACTTGGAGGGTCCACCTGCACTTGTGGAAAAACCGTGTCCGCGTCTGTACAAGGCCATTTACACCTTCCAACTGAAGGTGGTCCGAAGCTACAAGGAGGAGTATGAGGATGAGAATAATGAGAGCATGACGATGGTGACACTATACAAACCTATACAAAGTTCAAACACACAAATTGAAGTTGTTTCCTTTCCAACAAACACATTGCACTTTGCCATTCCACTTTGCACTTTGCAGGACTTTGCAATTTTCCTGTCTTTGCCTGCAGATTTGCCGATTGGTAGTGCAGAGTCGGCGAATCTGATCGAATCTCAACCTCCGGCAGTTCTCCTCAGAGCTTGAACTAATGCGTAAGCCGATGCATTCCTTGGCGCAAAAGATGGCCGTTGCGTTCAGCAGTGTTTTGCGCCATGTCGCATTTCAAGTTGCTCGCAAGGTCTGAACGCCCGCAACCCCGGTATATATATATATTTTTTGTGTCATTGCTTGATATCTTTAGCATGAAAACATATGAAAACAATGATGAAAATAATCTAAAGTCGAACCAACCCCAATCGTGACAGTTTCTCACTAGCCTCACAATTGCCTGCTGAATGTCCCTGTAGGGTGGAGCGCCCGGGTAGACCGATACACCCGTAGAATCCTTGCTGTCGCCAAGTTTGGCAACCCCATTTAACCAGTATTGTTGCTCAATTGGCACTCTGACAACTCTTAACAGTCTTGCGACTCTTAACACTCTTACGACTCTTATGTGTCTTACGGCTCTTGCCAATCTTACCACTCTGACGACTTTTACCACTCTTGCCATTTTTATGGGCAAGTCCTCGTTTTGTTGTTTTGGCATGGTACCATCTCCGCCATGACGCCGAGTAGCTTTTCCGCATCCAGCAGAAAGGGTAACACTGCTACGCAGGCACTGCAGGCCTCTGCCTGCAGCAAATTGGGGGAACTTTGTGAATTGAATAAATAAATCCAAATTCGTCAGTGGGGCTAGAGCGGCTGGAGGACAGGAAGGCACCCCACACGTAGTCAATGATGAATCTACATGCTCTGTATGCGACTCTTCTGTAAATTCACAGATCGCCAGTTTGGATGGGACGCAGGGATCGTTTTAGAACAAAGTTTTTTCATACTGTCGCTGGTGGTTTGCTTTAGTAGTTTGCTATGCTGTGAAATCAACATTGTTTATGGTTTTATATTTTACATACATAGATATTGAATTATATATGCATGGGTACATTTCTCAGAAAGTAACAAATAGATCGATTAACAAATAGAAAAATGGAGAGATAGGGAGATGGTGAGATAGACATACACATATACAGATAGGGAGATAGATTAGATACATTGAGAGATAGACAAATAGAGCAAGATAGAAAGAAAAAAGAAAGAAACATAGATAGATAGATAGATAGATAGATAGATAGATAGATAGATAGATAGATAGATCGATCGATCGATCGATAGATCGATAGATCGATAGATCGATAGATCGATAGATCGATGGATCGATAGATCGATGGATCGATACATAGATCGATAAATCGATAGATCGATAGATCGATAGATAGCTGGATAGATAGATAGATAGACAGATAGATAGATAGATAGATAGCTGGATAGCTGGATAGGGAGATAGACAGATAGATAGTTGATGGGTTGATGGGTAGATGGGTGGATGGATGGATGAATGGATAGATGGATAGATTGCAGTAGAGAGATAGAGAAATAGAGAAATCAACAAACAATAGATAGGGATATATATATATAAATATATATATATAAATAATAAGGGGATTCAAAGATTGAGAAATAGAGAGATAGAGGGATAGAGAGGTAGAGAGATAGACACAGTTTGGGAGGTAGACAGACAAATGCATAGATAGATAGAGAGGGATAGATCAAAAAAATAGAGATATGTAGACCAACAAACATGGACATATAGACAGAGGCAGCATTTCATGCGCCCCAGGAATCATCTTGGAAAGTCAGATTTTGCAAACAACAATTACAATAGCTGACTTTAGAAAAAAATCATACTTATAAAAAAAATCATACTTATATGTATGTGTGTGTATGTATATATATATATGGTACCCCCTTTTCTTAACATTTTGGACTCTACAACTTATGGCATTTTCTGGTGATCAAAAATTGCATTTTTCCAAGTCTTGTGAGAAACTTGGATCTTGGATCTTGGATTTTGCAAAGAAGGCAATCAGAATGCATTCTTCCCCAAATCTAAGATCCACGATTCAAGATTCAAAATCCCAAAAAGACTTCTTGAATCCAAGGGGGTAGGATTCAAGATTCAAGGTTCAAGGCTCAGAAAAAACTTCTTACATCCAAGGAGGTAGGATTCAAGATTCAAGATTCAAGATTCACGGCTCAGAAAAAACTTCTTGGATCCAAGGAGGTAGGGTTCAACATTCAAGATTCCAAAAAGAATTCTTGAATCCAAGGGCGTAGGATTCAAGATCCAAGATTCAATTCTCAGAAAAAAAAACTTCTTGAACCCAAGGGGGTGGGATTTTAAATTCAAGATTCAAGATTCACGGCTCAGAAAAAACTTCTTGAATCCAAGGAGGTAGGATTCAAGATTCAAGATTCCAAAAGAATTCTTGAATCCAAGGGGGTAGGATTCAAGGCTCAGACTAGACGACGGATGGCCCGAGAGCGTAGAGGAGCAGAGTCTTCTGTTGTTAGTATGGAGACACTATATTACAAGACAATATATTAAAGATGTATTATAGGCAGGCGAGACAATATATCACAAACACAATACAATAGTTTGCATCGTATCTTTCGTGCAGTTTCTTCACACACAGAACTTTTCACAGACAGACGTTTTTGCACACAGAGACTTTTGCACACAGAGACTTTTACACACAGACGCTTTTACACACAGACGCTTTTACACACAGACGCTTTTACGCACGGAAGTTTTTACACACAGACACTTTTACACACAAACACTTTTACACACAAACACTTTTACACACAGACGCTTTTACACACAGAAGCTTTTACACGCAGACGCTTTTACACACAGAAGCTTTTACACACAAACGCTTTTACACACAAACACGTTTACGCACAGAGACCGGACCCGTGAAATCGCAATTTTACCTCAGTTTTGGGCGATCAAATCTCGTTTCGTGCGAAAATGTTCGCCGGACAACTTGCAAATCGCAATTTTACCTCAGTTTTTGGCGATCAAACCTCATTTCGTGCGAAAGGGTTGCGCCGGACAAGAGAAATTGGAATTTTACCTCAGCTTTTGGCGATCAAACCTCATTTCGTGCGAAAAGGTTGCGCCGGACAAGAGAAATCGCAATTTTACCTCAGTTTTTGCCGAACTTCATTTCGTGCGAAAGGGTTGCGATTGGACACCAGAAATCGCAATTTTACCACAGTTCTTGGCGATCGAACCTCATTTCGTGCGAAAGGGTTGCGTTTCGCGCCGTCTCGCTGGCACTGCCCCGCGCCTTCAAGAGAGAAATAGAAAAGAAGGAGAGAGCAAGAGGGCAAGAAGAGGACAAGAGAGCAAGAGGGCAAGAGAGCAAGAGGGCAAGAGAGAATGTGAAGATGTGAAGATGAGAAGATGTCAAGATGTGAGGATGTGAAGATGTGAGGATGTGATGATGAGAAGATGCGAAGATGTGAGGATGTGAGGATGAGAAGATGTGAAGATGTGAATCTTGACTCCTACCTCCTTGGATTCAAGAAGTTTTTTCTGAGCCTTGAATCTTGAATCTTGAATCCTACCTCCTTGGATTCAAGAATTCTTTTTGGAATCTTGAATGTTGAATCCTACCTCCTTGGATCCAAGAAGTTTTTTCTGAGCCTTGAATCTTGAATTTAAAATCCCACCCCCTTGGATTCAAGAATTCTTTTTGGAATCTTGAATCTTGAGTCCTACCCCGTTGGATTCAAGAAGTTTTTTCTGAGCCTTGAATCTTGAATCTTGAATCCTACCTCCTTGGGTTCAAGAATTCTTTTTGGAATCTTGAGTCTTGAATCCTACCTCCTTGGATTCAAGAAGTTTTTTCTGAGCCTTGGACCTTGAATCTTGAATCCTACCGCCTTGGATTCAAGAAGTTTTTTCTGAGCCTTGAACCTTGAATCTTGAATCCAAATACTTAGAATAATATTAGTCACCAGAAATTGCAATTTCTTGCAAATGATCGGCCTGTCTGCCAAGGACATTCCTCAAATAAACTTGCTTACCCTGTAAAAGAAAATTCTACAGCACATTGTTTTGTCTTTGCTTTCCTAGCAAATCAATAAACTTTGGTAACTAGATTCATCATCACCGAAGGAAGTTTAGAAGTCAAACTTCCGACAATATGGACAGATGAAAAGCAGAGATGGGAAGAGTCAGAGAGAAGAGAAGAGTAGAAGAGAGAAGAGTAGAAGAGAGAAAATCAGAGAAGAGAAAGAGTCAGAAGAAAGAAGATGCAGGTGCGCGAAAAGGTAGGAAAGTCGCGAAACACTGTGTTTTTCCAATGCTTTGTGGCTCCGGAGCAGGTCCGGACGACTTGTGGAAGTTGAGATGTCGAAAAAGTGCACGCCATTGTGGCGCGAAGCACATTTGCAAGTGAAACAGCTAAAAGCACCTCACGATCGGAACACTTTTGGAAGTTGAGATGTCGAAAAAGTGCACGCCCTTGTGGCGCGAAGCACCTTTCGAAGTCAAAAGTGCAAAAAACTGAGGGGTACGGGGCACTTTTGGACGTTCAGATGTCGTCTTGCGTGGCAGGCACAAGGGATTGTGCAAGTTGTCAAAAGTGAGCAAAACGTAAGGGTTTGTAGCATTTCCAACATAGATGGCAGGCGTGGGAGATTTGAAGAGGATCTGCAAAGGTGCACATTCCACGTGGCAGGCGCAGCCCGGCCTTAAACCCCTTAAACCCCTCAAACGCTCCGCAGAGCCCCCCAGGCAAGCGTTACGTCCAGCAGCAGCCAGGGCCACAGCCCCTTCAATGCAACAAATTCCAGCGGTTGGCACGCCCAACTGTTTTTAAGGATCTTCAAAGCCTACCGTTTGCCCGCCCTTAAACCTTCTAAACCCGCTAAACCTTCCCAGCAGCAGCCAGGACAGGCCACGTCCAACTGTTTTTAAGGGTTTTCAAGGGTGCCATTTGCCCGGCCTTAAACACCTCAAACGCTCCGCATGGCCCCCCAGGCAAGCCTTACGTCCAGCAGCAGCCAGGGCCACAGCCCCTTCAATGCAACAAATTCCAGCGGTTGGCACGCCCAACTGTTTTTCAGGGTCTTCGAGCCTACCGTTTGCCCGCCCTTAAAGCTTCTAAACCCTCTAAACCCTCCCAGCAGCAGCCAGGACAGGCCACGTCCAACTATTTTTAAGGGAGTTCAAGGCTGCCGTTTGCCCGGCCTTAAACCCCGTAAACCCGGAATCAGACCCTTATTCTCCATTCCCGCCATTGCCACCATACGGTCAATTCCCCTACTGTGGGAAGCTGACTGATCATCATCATCATCATCATCATCATCATCATCGTCATCATCGTCATCATCGTCATCGTCATCGTCATCGTCATCATCATCATCATCATCATCATCATCATCAAAATCATCACCATAGTCATCATCATCATGCCCATCATCATCATCATCATCATCATCACCATCATCATCATCATTATCATGACCATCATCATCATCACCACCACCATCATCATCATCATCCTCATCATCCTCATCAGTCATCATCATCGTCGTCATCATCATCGTGGTCATTATAATGATCATCCTCCTCTTCATCGCCATGATCATCTCCCTCATCATCATCATCGTCATCCTCATCATCGTCATCATCATCATCATCATCATCACCATCATCAACCAAATGCAACGCACCGACCACCTCCGCCAACCCCCAGAATGAGGGGTCGGCGGCACCCGGGCGCTAGCCCGTTCTATTACAAGATCATCTACAGCATACAAATTTTAAAAATGAATCATTACAAAAAATGGTAGATGCTGAAGAAAAAGCTAATGGAAATAACGTAGGTTGACAAGAACAAAAAAACAACTAACATCAAATGAGAATATGATTGATTATTGTCAATTTACTATGCAAAGCTTGATGGAATGTTATGTAATTGTAGGAGGATTAAAAAAGTAATTGCATTGTAAAAAAAGTAAAATCTCAAGATGCACTACCCATATCACCTAATTTTGCACAAAGCTCAGCTTTGGTAGAAGCTAAAAGGTTTCAAATTGCTACAGAAAATTTAGTAAACATGAATTCCACCAGTAGTCATTATAAACAACTACCTTACACAAAGCTGTATTCATCAAAAAAATAAAAATAATATGCTATACTCTGTTGTAAAAACAGATAACAAAGTTTCAATCCATCTATTCTCCTAATCATGTTGCTGCAAATCCTGAAGGTTATGTAAAAATACGAAATGGTGTAGAACATATTGAAACAGCAGACTTGCAAGAATCAGATCATAGATATAAAAATTCATGTTGATAAAAATGTCTGAAACATAAAAAGAATACATTAAATATAATGAAATAAATATGTCAAATATAGATGTTACAGCGCTATGCTGCAGCTAAATATGTGAGCAGGATGTGTCCAGCTACAATAGGTGGTAAGATAAGAGGCAAAACCAGGCATTCAGGAACATATCTGCTACACAAAAGGTAGGTCTTGGGGGGGTTGCATATATAGAAAATCAGTCGGCTTTTGCAAAGAAAACAATTATATACACCTTTCTTCTTGAACAAATGTGAACACGTGTTGATTTCAAATCAGAAAAAAAACGCAGATTGGCAAGCCCCCACAGCAAACCACCAATGAATCAGTGCTTGACTTTTGGAAAAAATTACTGCATCTGCAGCCGAATTGCACAGGACCCAGCTGGTTCTGGATCCAGAATGCAACGCCAGTTGGTGAGTCCGAGCGCATCCACCTTTCGAATCAAGCCGCTTTCTGTGTTGAAGGTGTGCACGTAAACCGAACCCTCCTGAAGCTGAAGGCAGTTAAGCTGAGATTTCTGACGAAGTAATCAAGTTGATTACAAAGGAGTCGATGCAATTATCAAGCAATAAACTCAACGAACATAAAAGAAACAATGAATAGAGAGACATCAGATAAAATAATCGAAGCATCCCCTGCAGAGAAAAGCAGCCAGACAAGTAAAAACATAATCCAACGCATTCAAAATTAGTGCAACATCCCTGGCACTCCTTGCAGTAGCTGAGAAGGCCACCTCCTCCCGGCAGCCGAATCATGCTAATACGATCCTGCGAACTCAGCTGCTTCTGCTTGATGCTTAATCGGTTTAATTCGGCTTAATACGTTGCTTCATGAGTTTTCATGGGTTCATTGTTGATTTCTTGATGGAGGCCCTCGTCCTACAAAATCTGTTGATATTCTTTAGGGAACATAATGCAAGCCCACTCAAAACGTGACACCTGGTCTACCACAAAACGAAATTGCAAGCAATTGACGCCAATTAACATTAGGATAATCCGGGTCCAAATACAAGCGAAGATCCTTTTTACAGAAGCGCTGACTTCAAATGAGACATTATGACAGTTGTTGTCACCCGAAAACACAAGAAACTATTCGAATCTCTTGAGCAAACTTGCGGCCGCTCCCGATCCTTATCAAAGACAGCAGGTACCTTTGAGTGATGTGCATGAAGCACGGTTGTTTAATCAGACGGATGTAGGGGGGGCAAATTAAGCAGTCTCATCATTTGTCCAGGGAGCACCATGGAAAACTCCAGTCCACAAATCCACCAAATGCACGCGGCGATTCTTCATCGATATCTATAGGGTGCATTAGAATGGGTCTGTATGGTCTGAATTTTGCAGTTACCGTTGAGGTTGTCCCCGCAGGATGGCCTTTGTGAGGTTGGGTTCAGGACCAGGCTTTGTAAGGTGTTTTTGTGCGAGTGTTTTGGTCACTCCAGTTTGTTCAATGGGTCAGAAAATGTTCGCTGACAAAGCTGTAAACCAAAGTGGGACTTTCTGACTTTGGAGAATAGTCAGTGGATTTCAATTTGATACCCAACGAATCCAAATGATATCAGATTGCCGACACGAGGCTATGTATTTACTAAAAGCCCAGCGAAAGGGATGAAAAAACACTTCTGCTTTGTCAAAGAATCCTATGTCATAGCCTCTTTCATCATGCCATGACACCAGACCTTCATGAAAAGGCGCATGAGACATCAAAGTGAAGCAACAATCAGCAAAGGGCACCAACAAAAGTCATTGCGTGATAGATTCAGAATTGACACTGCGGCCGCTGTTTGCTCTTCTGTCAACTCTGGTCGGACTGAGTCCTCCTCCAAGCCTCTGCATGCATGAAAACAAAAACCATCAACCATCAAGTTTTGCATTATATTGGGCTTGCGTCATCATCTTTTAAAAGGATTTGTCACCCGAAAACAGAAGTCATACAGTCAACAATAGTCAAAGCCTGTCCCACTTTACCGGTCCAAAAGATGCCAAGAGTGTGTGTGTGTGTATGTGTATATATATATATATAGATACATATTGAAGTATCTCCCTACTTTTCATGGGGAAAACCACTCCCAGAATATTGAAGTATCTCCCTACTTTTCATGGGTCAAATGGAACACCCCTCGAAAACCACTTCCAGAATATTTGAAGGCCCACTCCTAGGCCGCTCTAAAATTGTGCATTTCATTGGATCTAAAGTTCTAAAGAATCTAAATACTTTCATGGCATATTCCCGTCTTGCTTTCGCGAGAGAAATCTCACAGCTCCTTGTTGGGCACGTCCAGTAGCAACGGGATCAGGCGAGGCACCGAACCAAGGCGCCGCAAAAGCTGTACTGGCTCCAAGAAACGGGCCTCGGGCACCCCGGAGAAGGTAAGCGGCCAGCGCCCCAGTGATAACCACTTGAGAAGGAAAATTGATGTGTTCACATACAAACATGGGCCGCGGTAGCCAGTACCCAGAGTGGTGATACGACGCATTAGAATCAATGGCAACGATCATGGATGGTTTGAGCTAAGTCAGAAATTCAGATAGAACCCAAGAAATCGGGGAAGGATGCGATCACTGCTTGCATTGTCTTATGGTCACACACTTGCTCAGAAACATCTTATCGAGTTACTGATGTGGAATGCACCGCGCGTGCAAAAACACTTCAGTTAAACCTGACAGGAACGATTTGGGTGATTAGAAATGAGAAACTGTGCGAAGGAAAACTTTCTACGTCCTTGCTCGAAGGATCTGTTGGTTCTGATGCAGCTCAGGCAGATTGCGAAAACCGTACAGTTGTTTGGTTTGAAAAACATTTTGAAAAGCGACATGCCGGTTCTGGGCTTAGCCGGTTGCCATTCAGGGGAGTGATAAATTGATGCAGGTACGCAGAGCTGATCAGGCTCTGTATCACCACGAACTGACAGTGTCTTCGTTGGGCAGTGTCTGTGAGTCGTGCACTGCCCCCCTGCTGTGACAAGTTGATAACTGATACCAAAACGAAGTTCACAAAAAACACGAAACAAGCAAATTAGAAGTTTTACATCTTTTCAGATGTTCCACACACACGCCTCGCTGCCGCGAGGCTGTTTTTTGGCAACTGCGGGATTGGTAACGAAGCTCTTATTTGGGCCCTGAAGCAGGATATAGCGATTAACGCGAGATCAAAATACAGGGAAGAAACCTGCAGCTGAATTATCCGAGTTGCTCAGAACACCTTCAGCCCGGAGTTGTCAGACTCAATCGCTGATGTCGGAAAGCGCCTCCATTTGTTGAGCTTGCAGCGACAGGTGGCGAGTGGTCTGTGCCAAGTGGCTAGCAAGGTGGGCCAGGTCTGCTGCCGAAAAGACCTGGATCGGGTCAGTTGCTGGGTTCTCCAATTTCTCGAGAATGGCCAGGTTTGCCTCTCGGTCATTGTTGAGAATGTTCCAAAGAACGGTGGCCAGCTGATGGATCTGACTCGGTGCCGATGCGGATGCGGCATGGACAACGAGGTCTTCCATATCAGATCCCGGCAGGGATTCTTGGCTTTCTCCCGCTTGGTTCGCGCTGTTGGACTCTTGCGGGTAGTGATACCAATTTCCATCTTGGTACACTTCAGGAATTTGGAAATGCCGACGCCAGTAATTGGCCAGTTGGTGGTTTGTTCCCAAGAGTCAATCCATCCGTTTTGATCAGCACGGATGTGACCAATGATCCCATTGAAGAAGAACTCCGGTTGCCTGTTTCGATGCACCCCGTACCGATCCACTTCCGTCACCATAAGGCGACGTAGCTCTGGTTGGGAGTTATCGGCCTGAGGTGTTCGAACTTCGGTGAAGTAATGGGCATGAAGCTGGCGACGGGTCTCTGCAATCTCCATCTGGAGTGGATACGCTTCTTCTCGTCCTGGAGGGATCGGAGTCTGATGATCGGCAGGAGCAGGAAGGGGTATTGACGGAGCCGCGGTCGAGTACCCGTAGTGAGAGGTTTGGTCACTGGATCCTGCATGTCGAAAAGAAGGCCAAGCAGTGGACTCAGTGAAATCAGTGACACTGCGAGAAGGATAGTTTGAATCAGAAGGTGCGGCAGTGCTACTGGGATATCCATGAGATCGAGAATGACGACGTGGCATCCTCATCGACGTTGAAGGATACGTGAAACCGGCAAGTAGGGAGTCACGTTTGGTCATGATACAGCTGGAGCCAAGGGCTGAGAAAATTACACAAAGAGAGCAAGAAACCAAACCCACAGAGGGAAGGAAGGACAAAAAAACAAAGATGAAGCAGAAAGCACAAGGACTTTTTAATCCGTCTCATGGAAGCATGTTGCGGTTGGGAAGGGCTTCATGACAGCTCATGCGCATGATATAAGGCTGAAAGTGAGACGTAAAATGTCGGATGTTATTTGGAAATAGAATGCCGAATTCTTGGCCTTCAGTCCAATGAGGACGATATTCATGAAGAAGTTCAACAAGCCGGTCTTCATTGCGGAGAGCGAAGGTGTCTCCAGTGTCGTCTTGCCACCTAATCCATGGAGGACGGGGGTAGGTAGCGATCCCACGTGTACCAGATGTGTTGGCTGATGCAATAGAGCAGGTTGTACACCGTGAAGGATTCGAGACGGTGGGTATTGAGTAAGACATTGTAGGTGAACAGGGCGCGTTCTTCAATCCTGCTGAGGGCAGGTAACACATCGCAGGTCGTGGCATCCATGACATCATCATGGGCTTTGTTCATGAGTGGACGTACTGATCGCAAGTACTTTTCGAAGACGAGGGGCAGGAGGTACTTCAGGCCGTGGATCATATTGTCGACCACGTTGTTGTGGGTGGCGGGTTTGCCACATGGGATCGTCCCGCGAACGAGAGCGTTCAGGAACGGTTCGTACGTGAGTAGATGAATGAGCCATATTTGCTGAGGGGTATCCGAAATTAGCAAAAAGGAGGAAACAAAACAAGAGAGAAGAAAAAGAAGGAAGGAAAAGGGAACACCAAAGGGGAACTTTAACATGACAAGCTGGACAGCGGAACATGTCTCACTTTTTCTGCATTGACGTGACTGTAATATTGGTTAATCCTCCGCCTCTGGCTCGAGAGGTGGGTTCACGCGACCGTGTTGGTCAATGACTCCAGGCGTTTGCTTCAAGATTCCCCATCTCAGTTTACATACCTGAGGATCGCGATGAAGTCTGGCCCCGAGCGTCTTCCACGAAGGACGGGACTTTGTGTCCTGTTTCATGCTGATCAGCTCTTGATCATCTGCGTTGGTCCATGGACGAAAGGGTGGATCGCGAGGTGGATCAGCTGGATTTGGCTGCAGGATACGAAAGGTGGGAGATGGTGGTGCCTTTGGGTTTGGTGTCAATGTGAGTGTGGAGGTGCCTAGAGGAATGGTGGAGGTGATGTTGGATGTTGTATCGCCGCGGTGGCCGTAGTTGAGGTCTGTATCCAGGTGGTCATGAGCGGAAGCAGCTCCTGATGCTGCGTCACAATCAGAATCATGAATCATCTGAGTTGAGGCCTCCAGAAGTGGCCTCTGATGTGACGGGAAGTGGGCCAGGGTGGCCACCTCCCGTAACCATCGAAGCTCGAGTTTCTGGAATTGTCGTCACTTTTTGTCTTTTCTTCGGTTGTGGGTCAACAGTTGAGGAGACCCGTTGTTTGGACCGAACCGGGACTGGGATTGTGGCTCGAGGTTTGCCACGACCAGGTTCAGTAACTGATGGAGTACCCGGAGTTTGATCAGGACCTGGATCCGTCATGAGAACTGGATTTCGACCTTCCACAGGTGTGGTAGAAGTATGGTCTCCGTCCATGTAAGATGGAGGGTGCGTAGTGGTAGGACGAAGGTTGGGTTCAGGATTTACCACCATGTGTGACGGGATACCCCCATGTGACACCATTGTTGGTGGAAGCGACGACGGAGGTAAAGGAACGAAGGTGTGGAGGCCTCTTGATGTCGGACGGTCTAAGCGAAAATGTGAAGAAGGCATAGAATCTTCCCACTCAATGGATGGCTCGAAGAAAGGGAGAAGCGCCGCCAGGTGGTTTAGATGCATAATGGCCCGAGCCAGGTGGTGATGAAAGGCACGGCCTTGAGCGTGATCCATTGGAAGTGACAGCGCAGCAAGGAAGAGGGTAAAAGCGGTGGTTGAGCCAAGAAGCTGCAAAGAAAACAGCAACAGGAAACCAACAACCAGGAACACGAGGAGACGACAGGAGAACCCGGGGAAACACCCAGAATAAAAACCAAGAAACCCAACAAGGACAACAGGAAAGGCAAGCGTTACGCTCATGTTTGACCTTGCAATTGATTGTTCTGATGCTGAATCAAAAGTTGGTCAGAGATTGTCTGGAGTTCCTCCTTGGGAAAACCAGCACGAGTGTACAACTGAATTAATTGGGTCAGACCTTGTTGAACACGAAAAGCAGGGAAGGCACCCTTGATGACGATGTGACAGCGCGAGCGAAAGCCACTGAGGAGGACTTTTGGAGGGGAAGCTGAAAAAGGCGAGAGAACTTGAGAGATGTTTGTCGGTCCCTGGTAGATCAGCTCCAGTGGTTTTGTTTCAAGCATGAAGCCAAGAAATTCTTGGTCAGGTTCAGTCTCGAGAATGATGGGTTTTCCGTAGAATCCTTCGTCCAGGAGGACTTCATATGGTGCAAGTGCAGTGAGGCGCTTGTCTCCAAATATGAGACGATTGTCTACATATCTGATATGTCGAATGAACAAATGATGATTGGAGAGAAGTTGATGGAATGTACTAGACCAAATTTGTTCACTGATTCAGACTACCATAAGGCAAAGAGCCGGTGAGAGAGGGCTGCCCATGGGGCTTCCTCTGCTTTGACGGACACATTTTTGGCCCAGTGCGAAAGTCTGCATGTTCAGTGCTGACCTGATCAATTCTGGGACATCTTTGATGACAATCTTTCGAGTGACATTGAGACGACGAAAGGTACGTCCTTTGATGATGTCACCCGGATTGTTGGATTTTCCTGGATATACCGAAAAGGCTTCATCATCGGAAACGCTCATTTTTGGACGGAGGAAGTCCAGGAGCATGAACCAGGATCGGACAAAACGGTCTTGATCAATACTGGTGAAGAAGCCCGCCAAATCTTGGTTGACCAGGATCAAATCGGCATCGACAGGCGCTGATCGCAGAATGGAAAGTAATGTATAGACGTCCCCTGTGGCAAAGTGGTTGGGACAGGCGGCTGGAATGAGCTGAAAGATGAGTCTGGCAAGGATATTGAGCATGGGTCGAAATGGAGAGTCCACGAAGGAGATGATGGGTCGACCGCTCGAAATTCTTTCTTTCGTTTTGCCAGAATGTAGCCGGATGGGAGTTGACGGCCAGAGCCCACTGCCCAGGGATAGGC